GTAAACATACTGCAGTACAAGTACTAATACCACAGAGTGAAAATACTCTTTTGATGTTGGTAAGTGAAAGTAGTCACAACAGATTGGAATGATGCCTAAATCTATAGAAGTGAAACTTTCCTTTAAAGAGGGTCATGTGTCATGTGTGATGTGTCATGTGTCATGTGTCATGTGTGAAGTGTGATGTCAACAACATGCTCCATAGAACAACAGTCAGCCGTCCACCTCTACTACTGAGTCATCACTGTGAACTCTCCACATTCTGTTGACGACATGGTTGCTCATTGTTTGAATGTTTTAAAGCACATGTCACACGTTGCACCTTTAACGAACACGTCTCTGTGTTTTTACTTTGGCTCGTTGACGTTCAGGACTCGTCCTTCAGCAGTGATCAGCGTCCTCGGGGCCTTCGGCTTCTTCTCCTTCTCCCTGCAGGGAAACAGCAAAGCACAGACTGTAGTGAGAGAGAGAGAGTGTGTGTGTGTGTGTGTGTGTGTGTGTGTGTGTGTGTGTGTGTGTGTAGACAGGGTGGACTGACAGATGACAGTAGCAGAGTTATGAGGTTTTTGGGGTGAAGGAGAGAGCCACTTCTGCCTCCATAAATAGAGGGTTTCACTGTGGGACACACACACACACACACACACACACACACGAAGCCACACACACACACACACACAAAGCCACACACTCACACACTCACACGAAGCCACACACACACACAAAGCCACACACACACACACACTCTCACACACACACGAAGCCACACACACACACACAAAATGCTTTCACCCTTTTACAGTTTTAAACATTAAAAAGATCATGAAGAGAGAAAGTAAACCTGTAAACGCTCCACATGATGAGGAATAATGTCACAGCCAGTCCTAGAGGAGAGTGACTGTGGTTCAGAGATTAAAGACGATGATTATGCTTTTCCTCTTTCCTATATATACATATTAGCTTTAGGCCCTCCGTCACCTAACGCTGTGTAGAAGATGATGACTGAATATTGAATGTTTCTGTCTTGAACAGTGTTAAAACGAGGAGGTGGGTTTGTGATAACAAGCTGCCGTGTTACGGTTTGGTTTGGCTAACTTGACAACTGAGACTTCGCTGTTTTTGGTCTCCTTCGGTCACCGAGATACATCCCAGCAAAAGATGATCAACGTATATTTGACTAATAGCTTTGTTACGTGGAGGCCGATCTCTGTAACCAACAGTGCAGCTGGTCTCGAGCTAGACACCCGGAGTTTTATTTGGCTGCATTCTCTCTAGTGTCCACCAGGGGGCGACTCCTCTGGTTGTATAGAAGTCTATGAGAAAATGACTCTACTTCTCTCTTGATTTATTACCTCAGTAAACATTGTAAACATGAGTTTATGGTCTCAATCTCTAGTTTCAAGTCTCCTCCTCAGTCCTAATATGGTCACTTTCTGTTCACTGGTTGCAAAAAAAAAAACAAGATGGCGACGGCCAAATTGCTGAACTCGAGGCTTCATAACATCAGTCCACAAACCAATGAGTGACGTCAGCATGACTACGTCCACTTCTTACGTAGAGTCTACGGTTAATTCAGGAAGTGAATGCGTTAACTTGCTGCTATCTTAGATCGTATTTTCTTCTCTTACTTGTTTTTATCTCGTCTTGCTGCTGGTCACTGGAAGCATCTTAAATCTTGAATAGATGATTTTTTTTAATCATCTGGTGACCCCTCAGATTTGGAGGGTAGTAGGTTCCAGAAACTGAATAATAAACTCTAGGATCACAACGTTAAGTGCTCATAAAAGTTCATCAACTCAGATTTAATGTATTGTCCTCCCGACCAGCTCCTCTAAAGACAAATGATAACAGTCTTCTCTTCAGTCACTCCGTTATGAAAGCAGGCCGTGTGACAGAAGCAGCGGCAGGTAAACGCTTCACCTCCGTCCTTCTATTAAGCCCACTGAGCAGCAGACGGAGGAGTCGACGGGCGAAGAGCGGCGAGTGTTTAAGCGCTCTGCGGAGGGTCGGCCATGTTGGAAGAGCCTTCGATCTGCCGAGGATGTTCAGTCCATGTTATTGTTGGAGCAGAGGGACCTGTGATGAGTCCAAGTGGTGCTGTGGAGCCGAGTGGTCACTTCCTGGTTTCATAGGTCCATCAGACAGACAGACAGGCCGGCAGGCGACAGTGTCTTCCTTAAGACGTTATCTTCCGTTTCTTTGTTTTCCCGGCTGCACCGAAAACTAAATCGGGACCCAAAAAACATTGGATTTTCCTGCTGAGTTTCACTTTTCATGCAAACAAACAAATCTATTGAAGAGGAACCATGAATAGAGGCCGAATCACCTTTTAGTTCATCAAAAGATTTTTTATTTTCCCCGGATACAATTCAAGGTTTATTACAACTTTTGGTCTTATTCTGAAGTATCTCTGTGATTACTTATATCAGTATAACGGATATCAGCATATCATTTGGAACATGGAAGGATCTCCAGACGACTGACAAAATAAAGGGTTTAATGACGATTAAAATGATGAGAAGTATATTTGCTGAACACATATGGCAGATTTTGGAGTGACGCGTTAGACAGCGCTCTCCATCATCATCATCATCAAAACAACAAAAGAGGGTATATCTCTATACCGTCAATCCGCACAGAATTTAACACAAGAAGCAATGAAGCTGCTCTCTCATCTGCGCTTCACTCTTTTATCAGCCGGTTGGATTCAATGGCCATCGTCACGGAGTCCAATTCTAACAAATAGAATTGCGATGGCTGATAGTTTGAGGTCATTTCCCAGGTGTGTGATTTCATTTTGTGGAATACATGTGAAGCCTGTCAGCCATTGTGTGTGTGTGTGTGTGTGTGTGTGTGTGTGTGTGTGTGTGTGTGTTGGGGTGAGACAGAGGGCAAGTATCCACATTGAAATATCAAACCACAAGGATCACCTCCATCGCTCTGCCTCCCGGTTCAAATAGCACAACACTGTTGAGTCTTGAAGGTCAGTAGTGCGGCTCTCTGCTCCATAAACCCTCTTCTGTAACTCCTCTTTCCTCTTTCTCTCACAGTGTGACAGGGCGTCTATCAAACAGCTGAGTCACGGAGACATCAGTGGTGACAGCCTCGCTGCTGGTTTGAGTCCAGAGCTGAGGACGATCTGTTCAGACGGCTTTGAGGAGTCTAATCCTGCAGGACTACGATCACCAGAGAGAAGGACTGTCAGGCTGCAGAGAGACCCGTCTGCAGAGCCTCTGTTTGGTGTTTGGTGGTGATAAACATTAGGACCGAGCTCAGACCGGGTTTGACCCAGACTCAGCTTTTGCTGCAATGCAACGTGACTTAATCCTGCAAGAATCCACGTGCATGAAAGCACAGGTTTCTGTAGCGTGAACGCTGTGTTTCTCCTGTTAACCTCACGATGTTGCAACAAAGGATAAAATGGATGCTTTCTATAGCTGTAAGATCCCGTCTGTGAGTTAAAGGAAACGTGTAGTTTTCTGGTGTCTGATAAACCTTTAAATGCACAAAGAATCTGTTGAGCCTCAGACTGGACTGAAGGTGTTTCAGGTTTGGATTACATAATAACGTCGTGTACTAGCGGTGCGGCGTATGAAACGCTTTCACACACAAGAAGTTGATTAACTTAAAAGTGCAACTGTGGAACGGTAGAATATAATTTGTTTATGTAAGAATCATATTACTATAGATTAGTGCTGAAAGAATTCATAGATTATCTTTTCTGGTTCATCATGAGTCACGTTCGGCTAACTGTTGTTTAGCAAGCTAGCTAGCTCGAGCTTCTCTCCCACAGACTGTTAGAAGAAGTGGACGTCGTCGTCATGACGTCACTCGTTGGTTTGTGGACTGATGTTATGAAGCCTCCAGTTCTGAGATTTCGCCGTCGCCATCTTGGTTTTTTTGCAACCAGTGAACAGGAAGTGACCATATCTAGACTGAGGAGGAGTGACGTAGAGACGCCGTATACGTCTCTGGTAGAGGCCTGTCAATCACTGTGTAGCCCCGCCCTAAAGCA